AACCGTCTAAAATTTAACTTGAATGCTAAAATTATGAAGATTTCAGTAATTTAGCATTACTTAATGATGCTAGTACCCGATACATGTGCATTGTATTGTCAAAAACAACCCATATTTATGTAAAAGAAGTATTCTACTTTCCAATAAATAGCTAAAAGTTTACATTCTAACAATTTTGTAAAACTGCTTTATTTTGGGCCCAAAAAGGGGTCTTACTGGACCTACTCCTTTGAAAAAAAAGTCAGGACAGGAGTTTTGAGTAAAAAAAAAGGCAGGATGAGCAACTTGGCAAAAAAAAAAAGGCAGGATGACAATTTATGTAAAAAAAGTCAGGATAAACTAATAAAAAAAAGGCAGGACCAAATAGGGTGAAAAATAAAAAGGCAGGACCAAATAGAGTGAAAAATAAAAAGGCAGGACCAAATAGAGTGAAAAATAAAAAAGGTAGGACAGAGATCACAACTAAAAAAAATGCATAGCTCCCTAATTTGGAATAACAAAACACTTAGGCAGGTGGGACAAATGTGCAATGTAGGTGCCGTATGTTTAAAAATTCAGTTTTCTAGATCTATGACCTGATTATATAGAGATAAATGAAACAAATTAGTACACTAATGTTCTTTGAGCTCTAGTCATCAACTTGATGTATGAAATATCTGCCTTCAATATTCACTTTTATCATATTGGTGTGAAGTTAATGAGACGTCTAGCTAGCTAGGGTTCAATCCATATCATATAAGAGACACAGAAATGTTTTGTTTTTGTCATGCTAAATGAATTATAATAAACTGTCAGATAAATCTGATTTACTGCTGTGATTATCATTAAGGACGTTTGCTCCTCTTGTTTTTGGATTTTTGTCAGATATTCAGAATCCTCTGGTTTTATCCATGTAGTGCCATTAAAATTTCGACCAGATTGCCCATACTTTTATTTTCATAATTTTATTACATATAGTTTAAAAAGATAATTTTCAAAATCTTATAAAATCTTTGTTATTTTTTCATAGTTTTTGAAAGAAAAAAGGTGTCAATGTTAGATAAACAAAAAATCTAGAGAGAATCAAGTCCCTCAAAATTTTCAATGGCTTATATATCAAAAACAAGGACATGCTTTTGAAGTTCCATTAATTATAGACTATCAATTTATAGCAGTCATTTAAAAAGCTTGTTATTTTGAAACAGACGAATCAACATTATTCATAATAAAATGGTTGGGGACATAATTAATTAGTTCATGACTTATTTCACTTCAAGACATAACACTTCAGCAGAGATTTATCTTGCTGAAAGTATTTCTTCACCATGAAGTCTTATCGTGGGTGTTATGACAATATCTAAGAAGTCATTCCATGCCATCTTGAAGCATTGTAAAACACTTCAATTTATATAATTGTCCCTGCTTCAAATGATTAATCTAACCAAAGTGCACTTCAAAACAACAGTGTTTTATCATTATATCTGCTCTTACAAGGTATTCTAGAGAAATATGTTTCAAGGCAGCGACTTATATGAAAATAACAAATTCTTTTAGACATCTTCAATCAAAGGATTAAGGACAGACCAAATAAGGGAGCTAGCATTTGATTCTTATGGGGGGGCTAGGATGAAAAATTTTGTCCTGCTTTTTTTTTTAGTTGTAATCTCTGTCCTGCATTTTTATTTTTTACTCTATTCGGTCCTGCCTTTTTTTTACTAGTTTATCCTGAATTTTTTTACACAAATTATCATCCTGCCTTTTTTTTACTAAAAACTCCTGTCCTGCCTATTTTTTTCAAATTTCATCCTAGCCCCCCCATAAAAATCAAATGGTAGCTCCCTAATATTGAGATAAATTAATCAAATTAGTACACTAATGTTTATTTTAGCTTAGGACATCAACTTGCAGTAAAAAAATTCTGCCGTTTTTTATTCACGTTTATCATATTGGTATGTAGTTAATGAGAAATCTAGCTAGGGCTTAATCCATATCATAATAGAGACACAGAATATGTTTTTATCATCCCTAAATGAATTATAATAAACTGTCAGACAAAATCAGATTTACCACTGTGAATTATTATCTGTAAAGATGTTCGCTACCGGTACTCTTGTTTTTTTAACAAGTTTTTTCATAATACCATGGTTGGGGACATAATTAATTAGTTAATGACTTATTTCATTTCAACACCAAGCACCTCAGCAGAAATTTTCTTAATAAAACTTTTTCTGCACCATGAAGTCTAATATTGGGTGTTAAAACAACAACATCAAAGAAGTCATTCCATGTCATCTTGAAGTATTGAAAAAGACTTCCATTTATATATTTGCCCCTGCTTCAAATGATTAATTTAATCAAAGTGCACTTCAAAACAACAGCTTATTCCTCCTCTTATAAGATATTTCTAGAGAAATTATGCATTTAATATGGTTCAAGGCAGCTACTTCTATGAAAAGTGCAAATTCTCCAGACATCCTCAATCAAAGGATTAAAGACAGCATAATGCAGGGGTTGTCTTTAGTGTTATCTTGATAGTTTCTTCTTCTTTTGGGAATTTGGTATTAGGATAGATCTTTGAAAGTCTCTGATAAAAGTATAATCTTCTTGTCAAGACACTGGGCAGTTTCGTGCTTGACCTCTTTAGACATTTTCCCATTTTTTAAGAAAGTAAGTGGTATGCACTGTTAGATTTCTTGGTTTTTTTTAGTTGTAGGGTAACTGTCTCATTGAAATATACCTCCACATCTCCTTTCAATAATAATGAAAAGATTAAAAACAATTTGTAAGAACAGATAATCATAAAATAAAAAAAGTTTTAAATTTCATAGATTATGGAGCTGAAATCGATAACATTTTAACAAAATGTGTGTCTACAAAATACTGATATCCCAACCTCAAAAGAATTATATGGACAATCTATAACTAATGGATCTGACCATGTAAATCAAAATCTAAAGCATGCAAATTGAACTTCAGCCAAAGTTAAAAAGGTTGGCAATTATTACAAAAATGTTCCAATACTATTAAATGTAACACAATGTCACTGATATAACTTTTCAAACCTCAATATGAATAAAACTGAATTAATTGCTAAAGTATCTAAATGCAAATTTCAACAAAAATCTCTTAGTGTGTGTCAGTGTTGGTAAATTTATTATCACTTATCATTTATAAAAAAAATAAAAATAATTCTGGATTTATCTTCATCAGAAACGATCAAACCCAAAAACTTTGAAAGCCAAAGATGTATAAATTCTTGAATACTGGAATGAATATGACCAAACGAAAATTAAAAATAGTAGCCAAATACACCTGAGGTCAACTTTACCTTCAAGAACCTTAGTTTCTTAATAATTTCTAAATTGATGAACAGAGAATTTCAGAACCGTATGTTATTATATCATGTCAGTGTAAAGCACTAACAACTGAACTGATGATATCCTCTGGAACCATAGAAATCCACCAGCAGTGGTATATGGACTAAGTGTAAAATATGAATAACAAGAATGTGTCCATAGTACACGGATGCCCCACTCACACTATCATTTTCTATGTTCAGTGGACCGTGAAATTGGGGTCAAAACTCTAATTTGGCATTAAAATTAGAAAAAGATCATATCATAGGGAACATGTGTACTAAGTTTCAAATTGATTGGACTTAAACTTCATCAAAAACTACCTTGACCAAAAACTTAAACCTGCAGCGGGACAGAGGGACGAACGGACGGACGGACGAACGAAAAAACGGACGCACAGACCAGAAAACATAATGCCCCTCTACTATCGTAGCTGGGGCATAAAAATGTCCAGTCATTGATCATTAGTATGACCAACTTTTAGTAAATCTCTTAAACAGGCCAATGTTTCTTGGGAAATTTTTTTTATAATTAATCTTGTATTTCACAAGAGTGCAATATCTAAGATGAATTAACTAATTTGAACATTTCCAATAAAAGATAAACTGTTGTGAATTCCTGTATTCTGTTTAATCCTATTTAATGAGATCGTTCAGGGGGTGGAATTTTTAAGCTTATATTGATGATAGAATTTTATATTAATATTCCGTGCAAGAAAAGCTGATGGCACTGTTACATAATCGAGTTAATGTGGGTGAAATTATAAGAATTACTATAACTGTCGGAAGAAATTGCATAAGTTTCAATTTGAAATTATCTATATGACAAGATATTAATTGCAAACTATAATCTGTGATGAAATGATGATGTTGACAATTTTTACATCTTCAAATGCCAAAAGCAAAATATTAAATAAGATTCTAGACCAATAAACTATGGCTTATTTTTTTTTCTATTGGATTCATACTTGTACTGCAATAATTAAAATTGTTCTTAAATTTTGGTAAAGTGGATTAATTTTGTTTTTTTGGTTACCAATTTGTGTGCATTCAGGAGAAATTGTATATTTTGTGGATAGTTGATTTCATGGTTTTCGAAAATTCTGCATACGAGACTATAGGAAATTTGTGTTTCATTGATACTTTGAATTTGCAGTTCACGTTTATCACAAAATCCACGAAAAATTAGAACTCCAAAAATAATAATGAATGCACAGTACTTTACAAAAACATCACAAATGATAAAAGGAAATTAAAAATGACATATTTTTTTATCAATAATGTTATTAGAATTTCATAAAATCTCCAAATTGATCACAGATTTTTTTAATATGACATGAATTTCTCTTTAATTGGTACTAATAAACACAAAGTCACCATAAAATTGAGAATGGAAATGGGAAATGTATCAAAGAGACAACAACCCGACCTTAGAGCAGACAACAGCCAAAGGCCACCAATGGGTCTTCAATGCAGCGAGAAACTCCCGCACCCGGAGGCGTCCTTCAGCTGGCCCCTTAACAAATATGTATACTAGTATTCATTTTTTACATACTATCTATTTTGTTACTGTGTCTTCAACATTGAAAAATCGTGTTTTACATAATGTTTATTTTAAGGTTTGTTTCAAATGCTGTGAACAAGTTCATTCACTGTATTGACTAACCTTGTATCAGTACTAAGTTTAACAGACAACACATCCCAAGCTGACTTGATGTCAATAACCTAAAGTTAAAAAAAAAATATTATTGAATTCATTATATTTCTTTAGTCAAGGATCATTCCATCAATCAAGGACCAAAACTCCTGAATGGCAGAAGTGAAAAATCATCAATATTGTACATGACTTTCATTTTGTCATGAGAAACAACATGCAATAAAATAATTGGTTTCCTCATTATCCCACTATACCAATGGGATCGCAGGGTATATGTATAGAAGTAACCTTACAGCACAAAATAAAACCAATCAATTTAGAGATCAAGTTTACATCTGTTAATAAATTATATAACTTATTTAGGTTTATGAAGAAAAAGTTAAAATGTTTATGAAAAAATTAGCCTCCATCTCTTTAATTCAAAGTAATGGTAAATTCAACGTCTTTACTTTATCTTTACATAACTTACATCAGATTCACACAGGTAGTAAAGACCCTCAAGTGCCATAGCTGCAATGGGACCTTCCTCCTCTTTACTAAAAGTGTTTAAAATATCTGACAAAGGTCCTAACATGTCAGTCCCATGTTGTTCTGGTCTGAAATAAAAACAAATTGAATTATATTTTCTTGGACCACCATGATCAATAATTGCAATATGTGACTATACTAATAATAACCTTAATATTAATTGTCAACACATCATACCTCACACTTCTTGGATCTAAGTAGCACTTTTTTTTTAGATAAAACATTGTATTTAATTCCATTTTTGTCCCAAATTACAGATCATAGTCTTAAAATACAGAGGTACTTGCTAATAAATTGCAAAGAAACTTTGAGAGACAATAAATGTACAGTGTATGGGAAATTTCCCCCTAAATTGCTGAAGTTCAACAACTAATAACCTTGTGAAAAATTGAAAAAAAACCAAAACCCTTTCCACTTAAACATTCAATAAAATGAAAAATACTACAGGGGTGCCTGTAAATCATAAACCAACTGATTTTTACAGATTTTTCTAATGATGTGCTGTTACACCACTGTCCAAGGTTAGGATGAACACAAACATGTATAAACACCTCCCCATTTTTTAAATGCCAGTCCCAAGACAAGAGCCAGTAGTGTGCTTGTTGTAGGATGCTGTCTGATATAATTATTTTTCTTGTTATGTTATCAGTTTAAATCAGTTTCTTATTTTTCTCTGTTGTGTTGTTTTCAATTTTGTTATCAAAATCTTTTATAGCTCATTACTGTGAATTCATTTGCTTTTGTTTTTTATTTATAAATATTCATGGATTGAGGAAATATTCAATTTTCGTGGATATTTGATTTGGAGCCTATACACAAGCTTATAGCAAATTTGTACTTCATTGAACATTATATAAATAACAGTTAGCTGAGAGTGTGATAGAGCATATTGTTACCCTGAGAAAACATTTTCAACTGAGGCGAATCCAAGGTTGACAATGCCTTTTCGAGGGGTTACAAATCTCCATCCAAGTCACAAGTTGTAAAAGTAAACCATTATAGGTCAAAGTACTCTATTATACTGAATGTTCTGTTATTACTGTCTATCAAATTTCAAATTCAAAGTAATAAACTATGTCGTCTTGTATATAAAAAAAATTATCCATATTTATTAAAGCGCACACTTGAGCAAGCGTCTCCGTGAAGGGTAACAGAGTATTTGCAATGGGATATAGTAAATTGTCTCCCTCATATTAACCAATCAAAATCTGGCATTTTGACATGAAGTATAATAATTAAATTTGTGGTTAACCAATACCCATGAAATCCAGGGAAATTGGTATCCAGCGAATAATAATGAATCCACAGTATGTGGTATGGGTTGTGTTCATTGTTGAAGGATGTATGCTGTCTAGTGATCTGAAGTAGTTAACATCCTTGTCCTTTGGTCTTTTGGAAATCATACCACATACAATGTATCTTCATTCTTATAAAGCCATGAAGACATATAAATTTACATGTACACAATACTGTGGATTCATTATTAGTAGTAAGACAGCAATTTTTGTGGATTTTGTGGGTATAGATAGTCCACACATTTAAATTTTATACAAAGTAAAAATTTTCTATAGGCTTGTGTGCAGACTTTGGCAAAACCATGAAATCAAATATCCATGAAAATATAATTTTTCATCAATCCACTAAAAATTGGTATCAACGAAAAATAATTGAATCCACAAGACCACAAATGATGGCTACATCCATCCTTTTGTCACAATTTACTCACCTTATTTTACAGACTTCTAACAAAGCCTTAGCTCTAGCCAGCTGTACATCATAACTTCCAGTGGAGTAATCTGAAATCATCTGCAGCAGATGAGGAAAACATCTGTCTTGTAACTGCCATAGGTCTACCATCAGACTCAGGGACAGAGGTCTTAATGCTGGTGTGGTGCCTAAAGATTGGATAGTTTTCATCACAGGTCCAACACAAACCTGAAATTACATAAATACATAGTGATTTCATCACTGCATGGGTTTAATGATTACTTGGGCTAATACATATTGACAGGAGACTCACTGCTAGAGTGATTGCTTATGATTGGTCAGTCGACGATGCATAGCAGGATGTTTGTTACTTGCAAAACATTGGCGTTTTACGACAGTTAATCTCGTGTTCTTGCACCAATGAAACTCAGATTGCGATGTAACGTACAATTTTATGTATAGAACATGTTTTTCAAGAAATACATACCATTTACTGGTCCTTTTAATCATTATGATCTCAAATTTTTTTTATTTCATTTTTTGGCTTTCTAAACTTTTGGTCTCAAACATACACAATGACTGTTATTCCAGAAAAATGGGTCACACACATGAGCATGAGTGTCATTTCTTTTTCATAGCCACAGTCCTGTGCTGTTCACAAGCACCTGATCGGTTCCTGTTGCTCAGTTTTAAAAGTGGTTTTAGAGAAGAAACTGGATATCTTTCTCTGCATATGAGTTCACACCTGGTATCAGTCAATCCTCAGTTTTCAGTGAAGTGTTTTGTGGACAGTACTAGTTGTTTGTTTTTTTCCTCTTTTTTGCTTTCTGTCTCTCATTGATCAATGTATTTTGATAATAATAATAATGATAATAATAACAACAATAATAATAATTCTTTATTTAACAAATACTTGTTGATTGCCACACTCATATCTTTTTACATTTTTTTACCATAATTTTAAATTTGTAAAGATACCTTAAAGGGGCATTAGCTGTCAAATTGGTGGTCACCTATTTGACTCAAATTCTCATGTTTGATTTATAACATACTAAAACGTATATCCAAATTATAAAAAGTCTAAAATAAACAATTTACTATGCATGGGCTCGATAATATGTATCATCATTTCGTGTGTATTTTAGTCTAGATGCCATCTAATTAACCATTGAGGAGACCTCCGAAGACTGCCAACGGTCATATAACCCGATATAAACCTAAACATAGATATAAATAGATAGCAAACTCGTGCAATTGGATTTTTCAAGGTCTGTTTGATTTCATATTATAGGTTAAAAATATATGTTAATCATTGTTTTTACCTGTACAAGAATGAGTTTTTGTAGATTGAATCAGTCAATCAAATGGTTTACCCTTGTTTCACTTTCAATGTTGACATTCTTTTCCTTCTAATTACTAAACACGCTTAATTCATGCCTAACCCAACTCTAGCTAAGGGGTTAAATTGAAGGTCACATGAATATGGATTCATTGAGGTCGAATTATTCACTTACAAGTGAATAATTCATCAGCGATGTTTCTTAGCTTATTTTGACAAAATTGAACCAAACAGGCTGCTAAAAGCGAATTATTATTTCACTATTTCACTTTCATTAATGATTGAACAAAAAAAATATCATAATCTAATTTTTTGGATATCTCGTAGCTAATGCCCCTTTAAACTCCATTGTATACACAAATATAAATTCATTTCAAGTATGGTACTAGACATCTATAAAATAACTCAGAAAATATGAATTTTGAGGAAAATCCAAAAAATTCATTGTTGTAGCCTTTTTGATCTTGCCTTGTCAGGTTTCAAAAATAATTTGAAAAGCTCAAAGTTTGTCAAACTAGAGGCTCTAAAGAGCCTGTGTCGCTCACCTGCATCTTCAACAATGGCCACTTTTTAGTAAAAATCCTCATTAACGGGGAATAAATCTATTAAGAGTTTACTGACAATTTCAGTCATGTTGGCATATTTGTAGATCTTGTCCTGCTGATAACTTTTCCTTTTTAAAGTTTCTATTTATCTATCTATCATAGTTTTCAAGATAATAATGAAAACATCAAAAATTATCATTTAAGAGCAAAAACTCAAATAATGAGAGAACTGAAGAATTCGGCCATTATGGCTTATTTGTAGATCTTGTCTTGTTGATTATTTGTGCTATTTAAAGCTTCTATATATCTATGACAGTTCTCAAAGTAATAGGCCACAGACCACAATTAAATTCCCCTATTAGTTCTTTATAACGTTTTGTTTCATTAAAAAAATTGCACCTTGCATTTTTGTCAAATCTTTTGTGTGTGTAATGTATAGTACTAGTCCAAAAATATATCCAAAATTCAGAAAGATTGAACCAATGACTCTTACAAATTTAGCCAATACACATCCATACCCCTATGGACAAGTCAAGAGATGTTCCGAAAACTGTAAATATCACCTTTTTGCACCTGGCCTAATCACTCTTTCCATATCAAAATCAGTTAAAATACAACATCCAAAAGTTTATTTCACCTCTCTTCTTTTATTTCCACCCACAAAAAACTAAGAAATGAGTGAGGAAGGGAAAGAAAAAAAATTAAGAAAAAATACACTCTAATTAAAAGGAACTATATTCGTGGACGACGAAAAGCGGGATCATTAATTGTGGTCTTGGGCCTATTAGGGGTCTAAAACTTGACCAATTCTAATAAAACTTGGCATGATTTAAGTTTAGTGTATTATAAAACAGTTAACAAAGTTTCAAAGCCATATGATACCAATTATAAAAAATGTGGCGTTTTTTATATCTGAACTTTGGGTGCTGAATTGTGGCGTTGAATTAGAACAATTTCAACTATCAAATTTGGGCTTCTAAAAACCAAAATATACCAAAACTTACATTTTTTAATGTTTCTATGTATAAGTTATCACCTATTAAAAGCAACAGATAGCATACTTCATGTTTCAGACTTATAAAAAATGGCCAGAAGTAAATTTTATATGAGCCTGTGCCAAAAAATAGAGGTTTTCAAATGATGTGAGGCCTTATATGAAATGTAATATTTTTCACTTACCACAATTTTCTGAAGTTGTTAAGTTATAAAAAAACCTTTTACATGTTATAAATGTGCTTTTAATGGAAATATAAGTTTCAAATAGCATAACACATGTGAATAAAATTGTCTTCAGCAATGTCAAGCTTAAAAAAACAGGTTGTCAATTTAGGTCGTTCCCCACATTTGCATATTAAAAAGCATATAAATGATATGGTAGATAGAGATATGCTTCTTTTTGCTCAAATCTTTGTTTAGATATGATAAAACATGGAGCCTGGATGTAACATGACTGTCACTTTCAACTATATATGTAGACAGTATGATTTGAAGCAAAGTTATTTACTTTACTTTTTAAAACCGGCATGAAATTTCAGCCTCAAAAGGCCAATATTTTAACCACTAGCTATCAAACAAAATAAAATAAAGGTAGCCTGTGAAACAGACAAGGTCAAACAACCAGTAATAAGTGCTTTTGATACAGATTCAGTGAAATCTGCTAAAAGGAATTCAACTTGTATGTGCATAGAACCTCATTTTTCACTTGCTTCATACTGACCGTTAGACTAAGACCATTAAAGCAGCACATTTTGCACTCTTATTCTGATTTTATCTACTTTTTTTTGTGTTCAGTGTTCAAAAATGAGTTAAACATCTACATTAGATACCACAAACACAAATAGAAAACCAGAAAAATCTGTCAGAGAGAAAGTAAGCATGCTACTTTTGTAAAAATATTGAAACAACTGAAAAAGTTCAATTTTGGGCATGTAGGCTGAAATGTCACTTTTTTACAAAATTTCTATCAAATAAAAGTGGAAATCATTTATTCTCATGTAGTTTGACAAATTAATACCAATAGATCATTCAGTGAAGTTGTCAAAGTACAAATTCAATATTTCCTGAATTCACCTCTTAGGCCACAGACCACAATTAAATTCCCCCATTAGTTCTTTATAACGTTTTGTTTCATTAAAAAAATTGCACCTTGCATTTTTGTCAAATCTTTTGTGTGTGTAATGTATAGTACTAGTCCAAAAATATATCCAAAATTCAGAAAGATTGAACCAATGACTCTTACAAATTTAGCCAATACACATCCATACCCCTATGGACAAGTCAAGAGATGTTCCGAAAACTGTAAATATCACCTTTTTGCACCTGGCCTAATCACTCTTTCCATATCAAAATCAGTTAAAATACAACATCCAAAAGTTTATTTCACCTCTCTTCTTTTATTTCCACCCACAAAAAACTAAGAAATGAGTGAGGAAGGGAAAGAAAAAAAATTAAGAAAAAATACACTCTAATTAAAAGGAACTATATTCGTGGACAACGAAAATCGGGATCATTAATTGTGGTCTTGGGCCAATAGGCAAAAATTGGAAAAAATGGGAAAATTGTTATTAAAGGGCAATAACTTCAAAAAGGAGTTGACTAATCATTTCAGTTATGTTGAATGATTTGTAGATCTTGTTTTGCTGATCAATTTTGCTTTTTAAAATATTCTATCTATCTATTATAGTTTTTAAGCTATTAGGCAACAACGCAAAAAATTGTTAAAAATCATCATTAAAGGGCAATACCTCTAAAAGAAGTTGTCTGATAGTTTTGACTGAAACAAACAATAGGTAGAGCTCAACATTCTGAACATTTTTTGCCACAGGTGAGCTTAAAATCAGAAAATTCAATAAAGGATTTAATATAACTTGTGAATCTAGATATTGTCTCATAATAATACTGGCAAATGCCATTCTAGTAATATGAAAAAGTTATTCATATTGAGCTGAATCATTTAACATTTGCCATGACAAAGCCCATGCATATATGTATGCTAACATTGTGTCAAACAGTCATCAATCAGTCAATTAAACAAATAATGCACTGACTGGTTTACATTCATTGGAATCTATATAATATTAAAGCTACAATGTATAACAATTGATTGACATAGTACAAAACAACAAATTTCAATAGATTTAACCTACAACGAACGTTTCTGGAATAGTAATCTTACACAGAAGAAAAGAAGGGCATTTGTTTAAAGTATGACTGACCTGGACAATGAAGTAATAATTTCCATGCCTATACACAATAGAAAAGAAAATAACTATACACAGTATGAATAAATGGAAATGCGGGGTATATGTCAATGAAACAGAAACTGAAAAAACACAAAAATATCAAAAAGAACTCTTGTAAAGGTACATTTATTAATGATAGAGTCTTTATATAATATGTAAAACTTTAAATCATCCCTAGACTAAAAGAATGAACACAAGGGAGGCTACTCATCAACATGAAATTCTTTTAAAGAAATAAACACAAAGAACTAAGAATAAAACCAATGCCAAGTTTCTGAATGTTAAGGTTAAATAACTTTTACATGCACACAAACTGCCTGCTTTGCCTATCTAGGCCATACCCTGTATATGACATGTCAAACTTTAAATTATTTCTAGTCTAAACAAGCTGTAAAAGAATGAATTCAAGGGTGATAATTGATCCACGTGAAAAGCTAGATCTTTTAAAGACATAAAAAATTAAGATATACCGTAAGAAGAAAACAACTGTCAGACAAGGTTTTATATTGAAACAGAAATAATTAAATGTGGCTGGGAAGCCAGTTGCTTTTTTTTATAGAGCTTAACCTTCACCTTCATAAAAGTACATAGAAAAAGTGACAGTCTATCGGTTCAAACGCCAAAAAATCCCTGATGCATCAAAATACAACACCTCACCAAGTTTTTAAAATAATACGTAAATAAGGAAAACAGGATTCATCAGAAAAACCACACTGTACAACAGACCACACGAACCACCAATACCCAAATCCTCCAGGGAAAAAAAACCAAAAGAAACCAACAACATTGAAAAAACACATGGTTCATATAGCCTGACTGTGTACAGTTACAAAATGATGGGTGTATTAAGTGCATATTAACCCCATACTTTGCCTATCTAGACCAAATGCAGTAAAACTAAAACACAATAAAAAACCTGCACAGTGCAGCTACCATTTTTTGATTGCTTCAGTGTTCTGTGCCTAGTATATGAATTCACAACAATTCTTACCTTATGTCTTGCAATTGCAGGAAGTGACTTGAGAATTTTGAGTTTTACGTCCCAGTTAGTCTCCATGCCAAGTTTACAAAGTATCAAAGGAAGAAAATTTGGTGACTAATAATATAAAAAAAATAAATAAATATAATATGTAATTCAAAATCACAAGAAACAGGGGTATGTAATTCATTTAAATCAAATGTTTTTAATAATAGGTAAAAAATCTGAGTATGTAATTTCCTCAGTATGTACTCTAGACAAACCTAATCAATTATTTTGAAGCAAAATTCATCCAATTGTGTAATATATCAATGTCATATTTATTTAGGCCAAATAAAACTCTTTACACATATCAACCAACAGGTTCTTCGTTTTTATTAGTTTAATCATGTTCTCTTAAAGTGCAACTTGCAAGAAATATTAAATAGTATATTGCATGCTGGAAAATATATTTAAAATTCAATTAATTTTTCTGAAACCAAGAAAATTGCTATCTGAATTCTATTAGTTTAAACCATTGTTTGTTTATTTTTTCCACAATTGGTAACAGTGCAGCTCATTTTATAAAATGTATATTTCCCTAATTGAAGGTTACAACAATTTAAGTGAAGGTTCAATCAACTTTGCAGCTGTAAAAATAGAATTAATATTTAAACAACTTTTCTCAGCAATAATACAATTAATTAAAGGGCACTTGTACTTAAAATAATAACATTTTGAAGCCATAAATAGATGAATTCCAAGTTTATATGAGGCCATACACCTTTTTGAAAAAAAACTTCAGAAATGAAAAATTTCTCAGAAAATTAGAATTCAAATCATTTAATAATAAAATTATTTCTAGAATTGCTGAGTATGATTGTTCTATGAAATAAATGCTTTTCTTTATATTTTTAATAAATATTTCAATAAAATTCCTACCGAGGCATTTTGCACTACAACAAAAATTCTAAATCATATTTGAAACGAGAGCTTCTCTTTTAATAAATTAAGGTTTCTAAACATTATTATTTGAAATGGTTTTAAATTAAGGATGGTAGCTTAAATATCAATAGAGTCATGCAATAAAAATTTCTTCAATTCCATGAAACAAAAACAGCTAATTCGAATAAAATTGTTGAAATTTAAAAGTATATCAAATTTAGTCAGTAAAATAGCAAATTTAAAAAGATTTAAAGCTAGGTGATGTGTCCCAGTTATTGGATAAGTTTTACAGACATAGTTACCACTTAAAAGCTGTCAAAATAAGCCAAAATTAGCAGCTATAATTTAAATTATGATTACCAATTATAGGATTTTGTGCATACATTGTGAAATAAACAGAATTTGTAGAAAACAGCTTTTTCAGTGATAATTTCCTGCGTTAAAACATATAACTGAACTGAGGTAAAAAAAAAATTTCAACTGGAGATAGAATATGATTAGAAAAACTTTTAGTACAAATATCTTTTTGGTAATGTGTGTCTGTCATAATAAAATAATCAGCAATATTTTGGTAAAATTTTAGAATTTTTAAAACATCTTTATAATTTTTAATAGTATACTGTGGATTCATTCATTTTCGTGTCTATCAATTTTTGTGGATTGATGAAAAAATGTAATTTCTTGGTATTTGATTTCATGGTCATGCAAAATTTTGCATCCAATTTGTAGAAAATTTGTACTATGTTGAATATTTTTGAAATTATAAAGAAACTAAGGTTTCAACTCCCTCATACAAAGTTGGTCTTAGATGGATTTGGCTATTTTTTATGTCTTTTTGGTTTTTAGCTCTTCAACTTTTTTGGTTCTTATACATTCTTGGCTTTCAAATATTCGGCTTTGAGCATTCCTGATGAAGGTAAATCCAGAAAAGCGCTTCGGACGCATGAAATTTATAACGTTTCGTTTTCATTTTTAAACTTCCTGGTTCACCTTTATCAAAGAATTCAACAAAAATGAGTATCCAACAAATAATAATGAGTCCACAGTATTATATTTCTAAATTTATTGTACTTTTAAGTTGCTTCCTATGATCTATCCCCAAAGTTTCCTTTTATTTATACTTTTTTCATGACACTTTTTATTGTTTCACAGACCTTCTCCTCAGAAATCTTGCTATCTACTGCAACATTGTAGAGTCTCATTATTTGGACAATGTAAAAGTTAGCTTTAAAGAACTGATAAATCAAACTGAATGTCATTTTTTACTTAAACAGTAAAACTCATTTTTATGTTATATAAGACCAGTAATTGGCAAACTGTGACTTAGAGTCTATTATTATACTTCTGTTATTGATTTTAGAGTTTTATCAATGTGTTAGGATGGACCCATTTGTTTACATTTCTTTCCGTAAAACTTTGAGACATACGAATCTTCCATCAAAGATGATTGTCAACTACTGAAAAGTTTTGTTTGAAAAGGAATATCCCAAAAATCAATGTCACAGTGATCAAATACCAAATTATGAAGTGCACTTTCTTCACTTGACGTAGAAGAGTCTGTATATTAGCTTGGTTTCTTTCGGTCTAATGATTAAATAGGCACTGCAGTTTCACAAAATAAAGTCTGGCACTACAGTCATAAAATTTGGAGTAAGATTATCGTACTCAGACCCTGCAGAAATCAACCAATCAAATTACTGGATTTGGTATTTTGAGCACAAATTTTGAACTATTAGTACTGAGTGATGTTTTATGACCAGAAGCCCTGGCCTTACAGTCATAAAAATTTGAAGTACAATTAAAGTACTTAGGCCCAGAAATCAATCAATGAAAATACTAGATTTGATGTTTCGAGCACAAATTAATGTATACTCCGAGTACTGAGTAAAGTTTTATGACAGCATGAAAGACAAAGACAATGCAGATAAAGCAAACAGTATAATTATAGTGATCCCTACAATTCAACTCTATCTGCTAAAAGGGATAAATGAAGCTGAAATCTCTTATTTCCAAAGCAGTCAAAGGAAAGAGGCAAGGAATTTGAAATGGTTTATTTTTCATAAATCCAAACTTTTCATTTTTTGGTTAAGTCTTTAAAATAGTAAACAAAAAACACCAAAAACTCTCTCTACCTGACTAACATCCTGTTTAGCAATTTCAACCAGGGTCTGTATTCCTATGTCTGATAGCATCTCAGTCTTGGAAAGCAGGAAAAGTGATGCCACCATATTGGTTATGTTAACAGGGACAGTCTTCATCTTTGGAATACATGACTTTAGATTCAATAGCCACGTTTCTGCATATCTGATATCTGTCCACATCTGGTTAGCTAGAACTGACATTTCTTGACACTGGTATCCTTCTGAAGTCATGGTGAACTCAAATCCATTGTTATCTTGGTTGCTCTGAAAAAAAGTAATATTCTCAGAAGTAATAAATTAAAACTTTCATATTAAAATATTTTTTTTACTATAACAAGAGATAAAATATATATAAATTATATAAGGAAAGGGATTTCTTAGAATCAATGATTTGTAAAACATTTAAAATTGAAGACTATAAAATAAAGAGATGTGGTATGATTGCCAATGAGACAACTTTTCACCAGAGACCAAATTGATGTGGATGTAAGCAAATATAGGTCACTATACAACCTAGTATATACATATTTATAATCGTTCTATTAATAACAATAAGTAGTATGTATCTAGATCCTTCTATGAAGTATGGCTCTGCTCTTTTTCAAAGACCCACAAGGCATCTTTAAGAAAATTTGCTGCTAAAGTTCAAAATAACAACATTTTCACACATGACAAGTTTTTTAATGAATCCATTGTACTGTATCATTCCTCTTAATATTATCATTACTGGTAATTAAAAGAGAGGCGGAATATATCAAAGGGATAAGATGTTCTTTTGGAGAGAAAAAACCTATGCAGAGAAATTACTCTTTAACGACATGAAAAAAATATAATGAAATTTCAAAAAATTCTACCAAATGTGTATTTAAATATGAGTTTTTAAAAAACAATTAGAAATTTAAGGGGTTTCTGGCCGTTTTTAAGGTTTTTAGCTTTATAGGAAAAAGCTAGATGAGTTAGGAAATATTAAGATTAAGTTTGACAATGATCTGAGAAGCAAATATTCTTTAAAAAAGGTAAAACTGCTGTTAGCTTGTTTAAAGATTAAGTTTGACAGTGATCCCAGAAGAAAATATCCTTTAGAATAGGTAACAGTGCTGTTTTCTAATTAGTGCTCATTTGTGCTTAATTCAATAAAAGTTTAACCAGATGTATTACTAAAAAAATGTTCTGGGGCTTATATTTTGTACCAGTGTATACCTTAACAACTAAATGTGTCTTTAATTTTTCAAATGAAAACAATATCTTCTGCAGTTTTTCTGTCTTGGAAATAATCTTGAGAGAGATATATTTGTTCATTTTTTTGTTTTAGGGTTCAAATAGTCATTTCTGATCATTTTGTTCATCTCAAAAGTCTATCTATACCTTTAATCAACTTAACTGACTTATTGTGGAAATTAAATTTGTGATATATATCACAATAGTACAAAGCTTTGAATCTTAAAGTAAACAGCGCTGAGAGATTTCCTAAAATAAATTTCATCATTCTTTATTACTATTCAATTTTAAATCAAGACCATCTCATTTCCATCATGTATGTCAATTACGCAATGAGGAAATTGAAGTGCTATGTTTGGTAATTCGAACAGCTGATTATCAAACTATTACTTTAGCCTGTGTTGTCGTCCGGAAATAATCGAATTGACAGCTTTTATAAACATCTAAGACAATGAATATAAGAGAAGATGTAATATTATAAATGATGATTTAATATAAAAATCAACAAATAAATTTACTTGAGGCCTTCAATATTATGAAAAAAAATCTTTCATCAGAAGGACCACATATAAATATAAAGATGGATTGTAGGATTATAAGTTGTTTTATGCCAAAACACAAATAGGCTAGATCACACACATTATAATTTAATAAATGAACATAAAAGGAAAATAGGATGGTGAAGTAGTGCTCGACATTATGTATAGACAATACTGGAAGACTCAGGAGGTAGAGTAGAGCTTGACATTTTGTAAAGACACTTCACTGAACTGGAAAACTGTTGACATGTTATAGTGTCTTTTGAAGAACCCTGCAAGAAAGACATGAACACTTAACAACCATTTATTACACAAAATATCCGGGGTAGATCCCGAAATTTTGAAAGGGGATGTTATTCTATAACCCTAACATAAAACCGTAGAAAAAACTGCACATTGTAGCAAAGTGAAAAGTTTTTATACGATTTTATGGTAAAAAATGATATATTTTGTACGACCTTTCTGTCCCCTTGAATCTGCCGCTGAATATAGTTGATCTATTGAATTGTGTAAGTATCTGAGATATGGACCTAATCAGATAAGATTAATGAACCATGAAAATAATGTCAAAGTCAAATGAACCCTGCCAAATGGACATGTATACCATACAAATCATTCCATACACCAAATATAGTTGACTATTGCTTATAGTATCTTAGATACATGAAAAATTTAACCTTGCTTACTGATCCATGAAATAAGGCCAAAAGTCAGGCAAATCCTGTCTGACAGACATGAAGACATTGCAAGGATCTCATATACCAAATATAGTCATCCACCTTCTGAAATGTAAAGCTTTATTCAAATAGTTTACGCTGATGCTGCCACTGTTGTTGCCAGTAGAATCTCTATGTTTTGAATTCTGCGACGTTCATCGCATGCGAGACAAAAAATTTACATAGCCTAGGCTTTACTTTCTTGGTTTCTAGCTGCCGGTATCTCTCTTTCCATGCTGATAATTAGATTTACGTTTTTCCAAACAATGCCAAGATCATGCACATAGAAATCAGCCTTCATCAAAAACTTCAAAAAATTCATATATAAAGAATATTATCCTCATTTAATTTCACTCTGGCAACCATTTTTCTTTTAATTTAACAGATATTTAAACTGAATTATTTACCCAAACATTTCTATGGAATGCAAGTTTAAGAAGTTAACGAAAGGGTATATAATTCTATTACTATTTTTTTACCATTCATGCTCCCACCCCATTTCCATATATTATTTTTTTTTAAATTTCTCTTAGTTCCCACTTAAATCTGTGATCTTCAACCTCTGTCCAAAATCCCTCTCAAACAAGTTCCTTCAATTTTTTAACAAATTTATATCAGACCCTATTTAGATTCTCCCCTTTTTTCTCTCTCTCTTCCTTCAATATTAAGCCAAAGTTCGTACTTCAACGTCAACAAATTATCTACTTGCTGAACTTTACCATAAGCATAAAGTGCAGGACTTCAGATGGCCTACTACAGACTACCTTGGTACTTATACAAGAAAGCTAATGACAATCTATTCTTTTCCTATAATTAACGATTTTACATCATAATCAGGTTTTATAACCAATTTCTCAAGCAATTTATTAAAAGAGCATTAATTCAACTTATTTGGACATATACAACTATAATGGTATTCCTTTATGGATTTCTTGCATTATGTAATCACAAATTTAAGTACTTTACCCTAATCAGACTAGACCAACAATTATAATGCTACTTTAGGAGGTAGTCGGCTGCCGAAATTCAAAATAACAACATCCTCGTAAAATGAAAGCTTGGTACCTTCACTTAAAGTTTTTAAAATACAGTGAACGCTGTAAATACTGTTATTTGCATAATTTCACAAAACCGTTTCATATCTCTTAATTTTATGTTAAATATTTCTATCAATTGCATAGGTCAATACTAGAATTCCAGTTCATTGCATTAAAAATGTCTGAAATAAATTGTATGAAAAGTATATTATTCTAGAACTAGAGGCTCTAAAGAGCCTGTGTCGCTCACCTTGGTATATGTGCATATTAAACAAAGGACACAGATGGATTCATGACAAAATTGTGTTTTGGTGATGGTGATGTGTTTGTAGATCTTACTTTACTGAACATTCTTGCTGCTTACAATTATCTCTATCTATAATGAACTTGGCCCAGTAGTTACAGTGGAAAATATTTTGTAAAAATTTACAAAAATTTACAAAATTTATAAAAATTGTAAAAAATTTACTATAAAGGGCAATAACTCCTTAAGGGGTCAACTGACCATTTTGGTTAAGTTGACTTAATTGTAGATCTTACTTTGCTGAACATTATTGCTGTTTACAGTTTATCTCTATCTATAACAATATTCAAGATAATAACTAAACCGGCAAAATTTCCTTAAAATTACCAATTCAGGGGCAGCAACCCAACAACGGGTTGTCAGATTCATCTGAAAATTTCAGGGCAGATAGATCTTGACCTGATAAACAATTTTTTCCCCATGTCAGATTTGCTCTAAATGCTTTGGTTTCAGAGATATAAGCCAAAATCTACATTTTACCCCTATGTTATATTTTTAGCCATGGCGGCCATCTTGGTTGGTTGGCCGGGTCACCGGACACATTTTTTAAACAAGATATCCCAATGATGATTGTGGCCAAGTTTGGTTTAATTTGGCCATGTAGTTTCAGAGGAGAAGATTTTTGTAAAAGATAACGAAGACGGACGAGGACAGACGACGGACGACGGACGCCAAGTGATGAGAAAAGCTCACTTGGCCCTTTGGGCCAGGTGAGCTCAAAAAATGGATTTATTTTTATAATATTACCAATTTAAAATAAAGAAAATCAGGAAATAAAAATGCACAACATTGTGTTTAAAAGAAGCAATTATTGTGTCTATTCTTTGTTTGTATTGACAACATTATGAGGTCCTTCATCAGTCTCAAGTATATAACAATTTACACATAATTTCAAAAGAAAAGGTGAAAATACTTTTTGAATAATTATTTTATTACATAAATATTTTCTCATAATTGCATAATTTTCTTTAACATTGCAATTAAGAGGAATCCACTGTAATATATTTTCACCACCGATATTCATTGCAGCAAACCAATAATTCGTCCCCAAGAGGAAATAACTTGATCAAAATTATAATTTTCATATCTTTATTCAAGCTATAGGAAGTGCATTTCAGGAAAGAGATATAATTCATTTATTTTTTGCCCATTTGCCCTTTTCGGTGTCATCCCACACCTTCTACCTGAAATTAAAAGGAAATTAACCTGCATTTGTACAAACTTAATTCTATCATTTCCATAATACGTATGCCAGAATGCTTATTGCATCATACTTATTTTTTAATTATCAATATTTAATAGTAATAAAGTCGTATTATTAATTTTCATTTAATTCATACACTGAATATTGATCCAAAGTGTTTTGACATATACAAATTAGTTATATATGTTCTGGACCATATGAGTATTTGGACCATACGCCAATGGTCATGACCATATGCGTATACAC